CCCGAGGGTTCGGATCCCACATACGGACCGGCTCCCGCTCACTGGCTGAGCGAGGCGTGGGAGCAACACCGAGGTTTGCAATCCCGTTGCCGGTCCCTGGTCCGGTACGGGGGCAACACTGAGGGTTGCAATCCGTTGCCGGACACGGAAAAATAAGACAAAAGACAAAAAAAAACAAAACACAATAATGTATACATTAACACCCCCCTCAAAATTAAATACTTAGGTATAAATATAACAAAATGAGGAAAACTGCAAAACTCTGATGAACAAAATCAAAGAAGAACTAAGTAAATTGAGAGATATTCCATATCCATGGATAGGGAGATACAATATTGTTAAGATGTCAGTTCTTCCTGACTTGATCAATAGATTCAGTGAAACCCCAATCAAAATCTCAGCAAATTATTTTGTGGATATTGAGAAACTGATTCTAAATTCACATAGAGGCAAAATACCCAGAATATTGAAGGAGGAGAACAAAGTTGAAGAACATGACTTTAAGACAAGACTTTTAAGAAAGCTGCAGTAATCAAGACAGTGTAGTATTTGCAGAAGAACAGACAAAATGATCGATGGAACAGAATACAGAGTCCCAAAGTAGACCTAGATAAATACAGTCAACTAATCTTTCACAAAGGAGCAAAGGCAATATAATGGAGCAAAGATAGTCTACAACAAATATTGCTGGAACAACTGGACGTCTACATGCAAAAAAAAAAAAAAAAAATCTAGACACAGACCTTACACCTGTCATAAAATAGCTCAAAATAGATCATAGACCTAAATGTGAAATGCAAAACTAAAGAATTCATAGAAGATAACATACCAGAAAACCTAGATGACCTTGGAAGTGATAATGATAAAATACAATACCGAAGGCACAATCCACGAAATAATTAATGCATAAGCTGGATTTCATTAAGATTAAAAATTTCTGTGAAAGACACAATGTCAAGAGAATAAGACAAACCATGAACTGGGAGAAAATATTTGCAAAATACACATCTGATAAAGTACTGAGTACTGTTATCCAAAATATAAAAAGAACTCTTAAAACTCAACAATACGAAAAAAAGCCAACCCTATTGAAAAATGGGCCAAAGACCTTAACAGACACTTTACCAAGGAAAATATACAGTTGGCAAGTAAGCATATGAGAAGATGCTTCACATCACATGTTGCCTTGGATTGAGTGTCCCCCAAAAACTTGACCCCCACTGTGACAGTGTTAGGAGAGTGGGAAATCCTATTGTAATTGAAAGTAGGGCCTTGCGGAGGTGATTAGACTATATGACCACGCTATAGTGAATGGATTAATAATGGTGGTTAGAAGCATGATTTTGTGGGCTTTAAAAGGGGAGCACAAAGTGTCCCTCTCTCTCTGCTCCACCAAGACCTTTACCAGCTGTGTTCCCTGAACTTTGGACTTCCCAGCCTCTGAAACTGTAAGCAGTAAATTTTGTTTTCTTTATAAATCACCCAGTTTCAGATATTCTGTTATAAGCAACAGAAATGGACTAATACACATATCATCAAGGAAATGTAAGTTAAAACAACAATGAGATACCACTACCTATTAGAATGGCCAGAATTCTGACAACATGAAATGCCGATGAGGATATGGAGCAGTAGGAACTCTCATTCATTACTGGTGGGAGTCAAAATGGTACAGCCAGTTTGGAAGACAGTTTGACAGTTTTGTGTAAAACTAAACATGCTCTTACCATCGATCCAGCAATTGTGCTCCTAAGTATTTACCCAAAGGAGTTGAAAACTTGTGTCCACACTCAAGCCTGCACATGGGTGTTTATAGCATCTTTATTTGTAATTGCCAAAACTTGGAAGCAACCAAGATGTCCTTCAGTAGGTGAGTGGATAAATAAACTGTAGTAAATTCAGACAATGGAATATTATTCAGCTCTTAAAAAAACAAAAACAAAAAAAAAACCTTTCAAGCCATGAAAAAATATGTAAGAATTTTAAATTCATATTAGTGATGAAAGAAGTCAATCTGGAAAGACTAAAATAAATAATTTGTGGTATATTCATACCATGGGGAATTATATAGCAAAGATAGTGAATAAACTATTGCCACATACATCAACATGAATGAATCTTATAAATATAATGTTGAGTGAAAGGAGTAAGAACAGGAAAGCATACTGTATGATAACATTTATATAAAGTTCATTAACAGGCAAAAATAAGTGATAGTATTAAGGGATGATAAGTATTAATGTGATACAATATAAGAAAGTGATTATAGTATTAATGAATTGTAAATATTGATATAAGGAAAAGGTTACCTAAGATGAGACCAGAGAAAGGAGTTGTGATTGGAAGATGCACAGACAGGGCCTCTGGCAATTTTTCTTGACCCACCTAGCCATTCATTTTATAATGATTTAATATGTTGTATGTTTATGTTTTGTATGCTTTTCTATATGTATGTTATACTTAACCATTTAAAATGTGGTTAAAAGAAAAAGTAAAATCATAATCTCCATTCTCTTTCCCTGCTGTACGATCTGTTAACATTGTTGATCTATTCCATTTATATTACTCTGTTAATAGGGATTATGCTAGGGCCAGCCCATGGCTCACTTGGGAGAGTGTGGTGATGACAATACCAAGTCAAGGGTTAAGATCCCCTTACCAGTCATCTTTAAAAAAAAAAAAAAAAATAGGGATTTTGCTTACCTACTTTGACTTTACTGATCCTCCATAGATATTATTTTCATGTGTTAATTTTGAAAATGATAATATGGTAAATAATGATAAATTTAAAATAGTTTTAGTGATGTTCTTTTTTTCTTTTGCAGTACTGTTAGATTATATTTCCTGATATTCTGAAAGTTGAAGTGATATTTTTGTCCTTAAACATTTTCCCTTGCTAAGTAAAAATTCTCAGCTTTTTTTGTACCTGACTCGCACTTTATTAAGGTTAAATCAGTTATTAGAAATATATTTGGTCCTATTAAAGACTATCTTTGGCTGGTAAGATTAAGGAATAGAAGAGCTTTCCAAAAGTGAACTGTCTTCAAATACAGTCAATAAAAGAAATGCTGAATAGAAATGGAGGCTTTTTTGTGGCTCTGCTTTCTTCCAGTATCATCATTAGTTAATCAAGTTGGTATAAGTACTAAAATTATATATTATACTTTCATCAGTCCTTCAAAGGAATTGTGAATTGCTACCAGCATCGAGGAGGTATTTAGGAATCTGATTCCTCCCCACCCTGGAAATTAACCCCAACACCTCAAGGGACACCTTTATATCCTACCTATACTGGTTATGGGTAGAGAGGGCAGTGTGGATGATGGTTCTTCTCAGTCTGAACAGATCTCTAGTCATTTTTCAATACCATATAGAAGAAACAATAAAGTAATGGGCTATTCCTTAAGAAAATTTCTCATTAGAATATGTTTCTTTATTGTAGGTAATTCGCTCCTTTCTGCTCTTTCCAACAATTGAGCGAATGTCTGAGTCACCTAATGGCAGGATTGCCACTCCACTTTTGTGCTGGTTTCGATATGCTGTCTATGCTATTAGCTACTTGTTATTTAAACCATGTCCTGAGAAAATCAAGTCCTTGTTCATCAGAATGGGCCTTCAAGCAATGAACCTAGAGTGTGAATTTTCACTGATGAATGTATTCGAACCTTTCTGCCAGGGTAAGCATGTTTTAAAATGTATATATTTATTCTCATGTGAGAAAGTGTTTAGAGAATAACTTTAGACAGTGGACACATATCAAGCAAAGAATTATTTGTTGGGGTTTTTTTCTCTCCCCAAAGTTTAAAATTAGAAATAAATAAAATTGAAAATAGGGTGAAGCGTGTTCTGTATGACAAAGAGATAGTAAAGCCTCATCAAGCTTTAATTTCACCTTATGCTTCTGATTATTCACTCTAGCTGTAGGACAGTAAGAAACAATTCTCTTCTACATAGTACATAGTATATATGGAGTCCTTACAAGAATCCAGGGTCTGCCTTATTAGTTCAGTGGGAGTACTTTACAAGATACAGCCCAAGGAAACCAGGCCCATTATTTCTGTAGAGTTAACAGGTTATGCTTTTATTTTTTCCTTTTAATGTTTTTGGAGGGGTTTAAGTTATGAAAGTAATGAATAATCATCATGGTAATACATTTTAATACTGGGTGCTTTGCTGATTGTATTTTCTGAATGAGCCAGGGAAAGTTTTTGCTACTTTACATCTTGGCTTCAATGTTGTTTTAAGATGTAATCTATATTTGTAGATAATACTAATTTATTCTGTATTTATAAAGGACTTTCATAATAAAATAATAAGAAATGACAGAAAACAAAGCCCTAATGTATTAATGATTACATTGAATATAAATGATCTAAATATACCAATTAAAAGACAGAGATTGGCAGAGTGGATAAAAAAAAATGACATAACTACAGGCTGTCTTCAAAAAAATGCAGTTCAAATATAACAATATAGGTATGTTGAAAGTAAAAGGATGTTTTCCAAGCCTTTGGATATATCCCCAGGAGTGGGATTGCTGGAAGTTCTATCTGTAGTTGTTTAAGGAACCTCCATACTGTTCTCCATAATGGCTATACTAAATTACAGTCCCACCAACAGTGCAGGAGGGTTCCTTTCTCTCCATATCCATACAAGCATTTGTTATTCTCTGTCTTTTTTATAATAGCCAATCTTATTGGGGTGAGGTGATATCTCAGAGTGGTTTTGATTTTCATTTCCCTGATGATTAGTGATGTTGAGCATTTTTTCATATGCCTGTTGGTCATTTGTATGCCTTTAAGAAATGTCTGTCTATTCAGCTCCTTTGCCCATTTTTAAATTGTATTTTTTGTTTGTTTGTTTGTTGCCGTAAAGTTATCTGAGCTCTTTGCATACTCTGGATATTAATCCCTTGTAAGATGCATTTTTTGCAAATATTTTCTCACATTCTGTAGGATGTCTTTTCACTCTGTTGATTGTTTCCTTTGCTATGCAGAAGTTTTTAGTTTGATATAATCCCATTTGTTTATTTTTTCTTTTTTTATTTGTGCTTTTGGGGTTTTATTCGTAAAGTCATTGTCCAGTCCTGAATCCTATAGAATTTCCCCTATGTTTTCTTCTAGGAGTTTTAAACTCTTCTAGGAGTTTTTCCAGGTCTCATATTTAGGTCTCTAATGCATTTCCGAGTTGATTTTGGTATATGGTGAAAGGTACAGATCATTCTTCTATAAATGGATATCCAGTTTTCCCAGCACCATTTATTGAAGAGGCAGTCTTTTCCCCAATGTATGTTCTTGGTGCCTTTGTCAAAGATCAGTTTGCTGTAAATATGTGGGTTGATTTCTGAGCTCTCTATTCTGTTCCATTGGTCCACATGTCTGTTTTTATGCCAGTACCATGCTGTTTTTGTTACTAGATATTTGTAATATGGTTTGATGTCAGGAAGTGTAATGTCTCCAGCTTTACTTTTTTTTGCTCAGGATTGCTTTGGTTATTTGGGGTCTTTATTGTTCTATCTGAATGTTAGGATTGTTTTTTCTGTTTCTGTATCATTGGTATTTTGGTGGGAATCACATTGAATCTGTAGATAGCTTTGGGTAGTGTGAACATTTTTAATACATTGATTTTTCCAATCCATGAACAAGGAATGTCTTTCTATCTCTTAGTGTCTAATTTCTTTCAGAAGTGATTTGTAGTTCTCTTTATGGAGATCTTTCACCTCTTTGGTTAAATTTATTACTAGGTATTTTATTTTTTTGGAGACTATTGTAAATGGCTTGCTTTCTTGATCTCTTTTTTTTCTAGTTTGTTGTCATAGGCATACCTGCACTCCCATGTTTATTGCAGCTCTATTTACAATAGCTAGGCTATGGAACCAACCTAAATGTCCATCAATGGATGATTGGATAAGGAAATTGTGGTATATATAGACAATGGAATACTACTCAGCCATAAAAAAAGAATGAAATTCTAACATTTTCAACAACACGGATGAGCCTGGAGAAAATTATCCTAAGTGAAACAACCCAGGTACAGAAAGAGAAATACCACATGTTCTCACTCATAACTGGGAGCTGAATCCATAAATAAACAAATGAACAACAAAGAGAAACAGAGAGAAAGAAAAAGACAAACAACAATCACAGTAATATGTTGAACTTCTAAAAAACTAGAGGTGGAAAAGGGGAGGGAAGGGGGAGAGGGCAGGGGGCTAATGAGGAATTGGTTAACAGACACAAAGAATGATTGCATATTGTAATGATGAATAAGCTAACTATACTGATCTAACCACCACACATTCTACCCAATTATTGAAAATCAACGTTGTATCCCCGACATGTATGTATAATAAAAAATAAAATTTAAATTTTTTTAAAAAAGGATGGGAAAAGATATACATGCAAACATTTGTAATCAAAAGAAACTAGAAATGGCTATGTATCAGATAAGATAGACTTCAGAGCAAATAAAACTACCAGGACAGAGAGAGACATTACATAAGAGTGAAAGGGACAGACCAACAATAAGAAGTCTACCAAGAAGACGTAGCAATCCTAAATGTACATGCATCAAACAAGAAAGCTGAAAAATATATGAAGCAAAAAAAGATAGAACTGAAAGGAGTAATAGTAATCCATAATTATAGTTGAGCACTTAAACAACCCTCTCAATAAGTGATAGAACAAATCAAGAAATTAGCAAGGATATAGGAAAACTGGACAGTAACATCAACCAATAGAATCAAATAGGCATTTATAGAACACTTTACCCAAAACAGAATACACTTTCAGTGTTACTTTCAAGCCCCCATGGAACATATATGAAGATGAACTATATCCTGGGCCATAAAACAAATTTCAACATATTGAAACAATTGAATATATAATTGAAATAACACAGAGTACGTTCTGTGACCACAGTGGAATCAAACTAGAAATCAGTAACAGAAAAACAACAGTTAAATCTTCAAACACTTGGAAACTGAACCACCTACTTCCAAACAATCCATGAGTCAGAGAGGGAATCACAAAGAAATTTAATACTACATTTAAATAATGAAACTTAGTGAGAGTAAAAATATAACATATCAAAATTTTCTGGACACAGCTAAAAAGTGATGAGAGAAAAATTTATATCTTATATTAGAAAATGCTTACATTACAAAAAAGAAGTCTTACATTAGAAAAGAGAAAAAGTCTTAAATCAGTAACCTAATCTCCAGCCTTGAGAACCTAGAAAAAGAAGAGTGAAGTAAACCCAAAACAAGGAGAAGGAAGGAAATAACAAGAATAGAAGTCGGGGAAATTGAAAATAAAAAAACAGTAAAGAAAATCAATGAAAGAAAAAGTTGATACTTTGAAAAGATCAATAAAATTGACAAACCTCTAGCAAGACTGATGAAGAAAAAGAGGATGAAGACACAAATTAACAATATCATATATGAAATAAGAGATATTACTACAGACTCTACAGACATCAAAAGGATAGTAAGGATTACTGTGAACAACTCTACACACATAAATTTGACAACTTAAATAAAATGGACCGTTTCCTGAAAAAGCTCAAACTGCCATAACTCTCCCAAGATGAAATAGGTAATTTGAATTGCCCTATAACTGTCAAGGAAATTGAATTCTTAATTTTAAAACTCTTTAAAAACGTTTCCAGGCCCAGGTGGTTTCACTGGAGAATTCTACCAAATGTTGAAAGAAAAATTAACACTGGTTCTATCCAATCTTTTACAGAAAATAGAAGAGGAGGGAACACATTCCAATTCATTTTTGAAGCTAGTACTAATACCAAAACCAGACAAAACAGTACAAAAAAGGAAAACTATAGCCAGTGTCTCCTATAAATACCGACACAAACATCTTTAGCAAAATATTAGCAAATAGAATTTAGCAGTATATAAAAGAATGATATATCATGACCAAATGGTTTTTTTCCAGGGATGCAAAGCTAGTTCAAAATTCCATCAATATAATCTGCCATATTAACAGGCTAACAAAGAAAAATCACATGATCATACTAACTGATGTAGGAAATAAAATAAATAACACATTTTGAATGTTTTCTCCCTAACATCAGAAACAAGGCTTTTGCCACTCTTATTCAACATACTACTGGAAGTTCTAGTCAATCTAATAAGGCAAAAAAAGGAAATAAAACACACACAGATCAGAAAGGAAGAAATTAAACTGTTGCTATTTGTATGTAACAAGATTGTCAGCAGGGTCAACACAGGATACAACATAAACATACAAAAATTAGTATTATTTCTATACAGTAGCAATGGAAACCAAATTGAAATTACAGTACCATTTAAAGTTATTCAAAAAAAATGAAATTCTTAGGCATAAATGCAGCAAAGCACATATAGAATTTATAAGCTAGAAACTGTAAATACTGACGAAAAAAACGAAAGAAGACCTAAATAAATGGAGAGACACACCATGTTCATGGATGGGAAGACCCACCCACTCAATACATTAAAGATATCAGTTTTTCCCAAATTGATATACATGTTGGTGGAGGGCTTGACACATAGATCAGTTGATATTTGACAAGAGTACAAAAGCAATTTGATGAAAGAGGATTGCCTTTTCAACAAACATTGCTGGAACATTTGGCTATATCTAGGCAAGGAGGGAAGGAAGGAATGGGAGGGGAGTGGAGA